GTCACTTCACTGCTCTCTGCCTCAGTTTCCCAGTATGTATTAATGGAATGGGTATAACAGCACCCCATAGGATTGTTGTAAGGCAAGCGCGTCCAACCTGTGGCTCGGGACGGTTTTAAATGCAGCCCAACACAAATTTGTAAACTTTCTTAAAGCATGAGATTGTTTTTTGATTTTTTTTAAGTTCATCAGCTATCATTAATGTTAGTGTTATGTGTGATCCAAGACAGTTCTTTTAGTGTGGCCCATTGAAGCCAAAAGACTGGACACCCCAGTTGTAAGGCACAGTGGAGGCCCCGTGAAGCCCACTGACCTTGGCACATTGAGAGCTTGGGTGATGCCGGCCGGTGCGATGTGTCCTTCCCGGATTGGGTCCCTGGGATCCAGCGGCTGGCCTGCAGCATTCCTGGGCACTCCTCCTCTTTCCTGTGCCGCTGCCTCTGCTGCTGGGGTGTGGGTTCCCAGGAGCCCCTGAACAGGCAGCCACCTGCCCCCTGCCCCCAGCCGTCCTTGCCAGTTGCCGGGTGCCCGTGGTATCTATCCTGGCGTGCCGGATGGTGTTGCAGTTGGAAGTGAGTCTTGAGTGAGCAATTAACTCTGCCAGCTGCCAGCTCACAGCTGCTGTGGGTGGGGGCGGCCCCTTTTAAAAATAAAAACAACATGCAGAAAAACAGCCCTGGAGTCCCGTTGGCTTCCCTTAGCCAGCGTGGTCAGGGCTTCATTTTGATGCTTTTGTGGAGAAGAATCCCGGGTCTGGATGGGGAAATAGGATGCATTTTGGTCTAGGGACTGTCTTTATTTGGGGGCAGAGGTGATGGCCTGTGTCTGGCCTCGCCATCCACGAGGCAGGCCCCTTTCCTCAAGCCGCCCACAAGTGGCTGGCTCATGGATGCCTGCCACAGGGAAGGGGATTTGGGTTCCTCGGGGTTAGTTTTTAGCAGGCTTAGGCGGGGAGAGGGTGGCGGTGGGGACTCTCAGGTCTGTTTCCAGCTCTGTGGGCTGTATGGGGGCCCTGGGGCCATCCTGGAGATCCCCAGAGCTCTCCTCTGCAGCTTCCAGCCAGTTTTCTGGAACTAGCGGGAAAGGAGAGGGGCACCAAAGGTGTTTCTGGGCATGCGATTGCTGCCACTTTGAGGTCGTGGCTTTGGTAGTGGGTTGAGTTGTGGCCCATGAAACGTAGGTCCACTTGGAAACCGTGAATATGACCTTGGCCTTATTTGGACCACAGGTCTTCGCAGATGTAAGTAAGGTAAGGGTCTGGAGATGAGGTCATCCTGGAATAGGATGGGCCCTCAATCCAATGACAAGTGTTCTAAGAGAAGACACTCAGCGGAGAAGGCCACGTGAAGACGGAAGGAACACCAGGGGCCACTGGGAACTGGAAGACACAGAGAAGGCTCCCCCTGCAGAGTCTTTGGAGGGCGTGTGGCCCTGGTGACACCTTGAGCTTGGACTTCTGGCCTCCAGAACTGTGAGAGGATAGGCCGCTGGTTTCAGCCGCGCAATTTGTAATAATTTGTTATAGCAGCCACAGGAAACGAATGCAGTTGTGAATTTTATTTTAGTCACTCATATATTTAAAAATTAAAATGTAAAATGTGACTTTGTCTTGTTCACTACCATATTTCCAGTGCTCAGCACATACAGTAGGGGCTCAGCAGATGCTTCTAGAATGCCTGATAGCTCCAGGCCTGGGTGAGGAACTCCTACCAGCTGGGAGTTGGATGCGGCTTTCAGGAAGTCGGTAAACTGGGCTGGAGTGGTGTGCATTCAACAACACCATCTTTTAATTAATTTATTTATTTGAGACGGAGCCTTGCTCTGTCGCCCAGGCTGGAGTGCAGTGGCATGATCTTGGCTCACTGCAGCCTCTGCCTCCCGATTCAAGCGATTCTCTTACCTCAGCCTCCTGAGTAGCTGGGATTAGGGGCATGCGCCACCACGCCTGACTGAATTTTGTATTTTTAGTAGAGAAGGGCTTTTGCCGTGTTAGCCAGGCTGGTCTTCAGCTTCTGGCCTCAAGCGATCCACGGCACCCGGCCTATTTATTTTTAATTGAGGTGAACTTCACATCACATATAATTTGCCATTTTAATGTGAACAGTTCATGAGTTTTTAGTGCAATCACAGTGTTGTACACCCACCCCCTCTATCCAGAAAATGTCCTCATCACCCCAAAAGGAAGTCCGTACCGGTGGGGTCTCTCCACGTTGTCGCCTCCCCGCAGCCCCTGGCAGCCACCAGTCTGCCTTCTGCCTCTGTGGACTTACCTATTTTGGGTATTTCTCATGGACGGAATCATACACTGTGGGTTTTGGCTTCTTTCATTCCGCACAATGTGTTTGAGGTTGATCCGTGTTGAATGGTGTCAGTCCTTCATTCCTTTATATGGCGGAATTCCATTGTGTGGCATACATCAATAGAACCATTTGATATCTAGGTGGCTTTTCAGATGAGGAAACTGAGGCTGCCCAGGTCACGGAGCCCTGGTGCCCGGGATTGAGGAGGTGCAGATCGGCAGACGTGTCTGGCTCACGATGCTCTCTCTTTCTCCTGCCCCCACCCTGCTCCACTCGTATCTCTGTGCCTGGCCAGGAAGCAGCAGTGCGTGGGGAGGAAGCGAGTGGGGGGTCTCTTCCAGCTGGAGCTGGATGCTGAACTGTAGCTGCGGCTGTGGGTCTGATTCTGGCCCTCAGAGTTCTGGCCCCCACTTCCCCCCTGCGCCCTGCACATGTAGTTCCTGTTGACCTGGGTCCCGAGAGAGGCAGCAGGCAGGAGCTCCCCCATTCGCCAGCCGAGCCTTCTGATGCCTCAAGAGGCTGGGGGCCTTGCCTGGGGCCACTCAGCTCAAGGTCCCCCTGCCCCTTTCCAGACCCCCTTTGGCCCACCGCCCCGGCCTCTGTGGCCTGCGGTGAATCGTATTCTGGGGGGTCTTTACCGGTCTTTCCCACGGTCAAAGCTCTGCTCAGCAGACGGGCTCCAGGAAGTGGCCTGTCGGCAGATTTTGGCCAGGGGATGCTTTTTCAAAGTATGGAGGGGTGGTCGCCGTTGGAGGCTTGTGTGATAGGGAGTTCTCCTGCTGAGCAGATAACCAAACGCTGGCTTATTCTGAATACGAGCTTGGTTTTGGCCACAGGCTCTGTCTGGGGGTTGCTGCCTGTGGCTGTTTCTGGTGTTTGATGATTTGTGGTCTTCATTAAGTCACTCAACAAACGACTTGCTGCCCAGCATCTGGCGGGGAAGACACAGGAAGCAGAACGAGTGGCCCTGAAGAGACACGGCCCAGTGTCAAACCTGCCCATAGCACACAGTGGCTCTGAGGGGGTGGGAGGAGTTACTGCAGATTCCAGGGCCAGCCTTTGGCAAAGGTCTGGATGCAGGTCTGTGTCCAAAACAAACAAAAACGAACAAAAGGAGGTGGTGAGGCCTGACTCGGCTGCTCTCAGGCACCGCTTCCTGGTGGTGTTTGCATGGGGCCAGTTTGGCCACTCCTGGGTTTCATGGTCCCGCCTGGTCTCGGCGATGGTCTGGGTGGGAAGACGGTGCTGGATCTTTGGGCTACAAATATGCCCATGCCTTCCTGTGCCTCAGTTTCCCTACCTATAAAAGAAGGCTTAAGAGTAGCAGAATCCCACCTTTGGCTTTGGGGCAGGTCTCTGGAAAACCCCCAGGGGTGTTTCCTGGGGAAGTCTGGAGGGCCAGCTGTTCACGGGAGACATCTGGCTTCTAGGGGCCTCTGCAGCCACCACGCTTATCCCCTCGTGGCCAGTCTGGGCCCCCCGTCGGTCCAGTGGCCACGGGCCCGTGTCACAGGCAAATCTGGTGCTAAAACCCTTCTGTGACTCCTTGTGGCTGAATTACCATGTGGATGACGGAGACAAGGCAGGCTTGCCCAGTTCAAGTCCCAGCTCAGCTACTAGCTGTTGACCTTGGGCAAGTCCCTTACCTTCTCTGGGCCTGCCTCCTGCTCCGTCTGTGTATGGCGGCTCAGGGGCATACCTGCCTTTGCCGCGGTGGTGTGAGGCCAGCTGGTGAACCAGGGGACCCGCTTAGCACAGTGCTGGGCACACAGTCAAAGCTGCTGGGCTCTGTGTGCGTGGCCACTGTTATTGTTATTAATATTATTACTCTCAAGATGCTCCTGAGAGTGCAAAGGATGACAGTGTTATTGTTGGAGTCGAAGGCCAGGCCCAGAGTCCATCTGACCACTTCCGCTCCACTCCTATTAGCTCCCTGACCTCATCGTCATACTCTCCCCGCCTCGCCCCTGCACCCTGGCCATGCCAGCCTCTTCTCTGCTTTGACAACACACCGCGCGTGGTCCAGCCTCCAGACTTTCACATCTGCCATGCTCCTGCCAGGGGTGCCTTCCCCGTGTCTGCACCCCAGGGCCCTTGTCATCATTTGGGCTGCTGTCCAGGGACACATTCTTAGGCCCAACTCTTGGCTGCTAGGGGCAGGGAAGTGAATCTGGAGACCCTCGTGGAGCCTCCTCTGCCTCCTGGGAGCTCCAGCAGCTTCCCCTGGCACCTCGTCTCTGCTTTCCAGAGCGCTTGGAGAAGCAGAGCTCAGCCTGCCCCTTCTACGGATGGAAAGTTGACACCCAGAGAAGCTCAGACTTGTCTCTGAGTCACACAGCTAATTGCAGCCAAGGTTCAGACTCCTGGCTGACTACCAAGCCATCGTTGTTGGCCTGTGTGTGTGTGTATTATTTGGCCATGTCTTCTTTTCTAGGCCTGTCACCGAGATGACCCTAGATCAGAATGCCAGTGTGAGGGGGTCAAGCTTTCTTTTCCTAGGATTAAAAGAAGGACAGAAATCTTTGCAAGGGAGAGCTTGCCCCTCTGGCTATCTGGCCCTCAGGACGGAGGACGGGGGAGGGATGGGCCGAGGCCTGGGTTCCGAGCCGGTTCCGAGCCAGGCCTCAGCCAGGGCGCCAGAGCCGCGCGCAGGGTGGAGGTGCAGGTGCGGCCCGAGGCTGGACAGTCCAGGCTGGGAGGAAGCGGGTTAAAGGGGGAGAAGCGGGGCTGGAGCTCGCTTTCGCCTGCCAGCGAGCGAAGAGTGAAGAGGTTTTTCTAGCCGAGCTATAAAAAGGCCTCACAGTGTTTCAGCTCCCGAGTGTCGGCTGGAAGCCCGCCAGGGTTACCATGGCGATGAGGAATTATTACTTACTGCCAAGGCTGGGAGAAAAAGCTCGTACTTTTGGCTTCCAAACAAGAGGAGTGGACTTATGTAATTCTCTGTGTTTATAGGCCCGGAGTGGCAGAGGCGAGAACGGACCACTGGAGGCCCGACGTCTCGTTCGCGTCCCAGCCGTGGGGTCAGGCGGCCCCGCTCTTGTCGCTAGTGGTCCTTGGCCTGCCCGGGTTTGGGGGGCTTCGGGCTGGAAGCCTGGGGGGCCTGGCCTGGCCCCGCAGGGCCTCCCGGGCCGGGATGGGAGCTGTAGTCTCGCGGGAAGGTGAGGTCGCCCTCTGGGGCCGCCCCTCTGCGGGTGTCATCCTGGGGGAAGGATGGGTCTGATGTTGGCTGCGGTGTGCCTCCTGGAAGCCGGCAGCACAGCCTGTGTGTGTGGACTCCGCTGGCCCGCTGGCTGGCACTTTTTCTTTTTCTTTTTCTTTTTTTTTTCTTGTGGGAGAGTTACTTCAAGTTGTGTTTGGAGCTGACGTGAGTGAGGTTGGTCATGTGCTTGGGTAAGAGAAGTCGCCAGGCTTGGTGTGCGCAGGGGAGGCACAGTGTGGCCGGGTCACTCTGGCCGGGGGAGGTGGGCACAGACTGGGGTGGAGGGCTGTGGCCTGCAGATTCTGTGCAGGGGGCGCTAGTTGGGGGCCGAGGAATTCATCTGGAAAGAGCCCCCGTTCTGTCGCTGGAGGTGGTGGCCAGGGCTGGGGGCCGAGTGGCTGCAGGTCAGCCAGCGGGGGCGGCCGGACCCTCCCCTGGCAGCACAGTGTTGTCGGCCCTGAGCTCAGCGGGATGGTGGGCAGGGCTGTCTTATCGGACAAAGTTGCTGCAGGCACAGAGAAGAGCGCTCCGAGGCGCTGGCCCGGCCGGCTGGGGAGAGGCTTCTTGGCCAGCCCGCGTGGGAGGGGACCTGGGGGGGCACCAGGCTCCTCTCCCGGAGCCTCGGTGCACATCCGGCGTCCCTGCTGGGGAGCATGGCGAGCCTTGGGGACTCAGGGGGCTTCTGTTCCGGAGTTGACTTCAGGAGGGTGTGTGATGGTGGGTGCTCCCGAGGCTCTGCCCTGGGGCGCTGGGGTGGGCTCAGGCAGGGGAGAGCCAGGTGCAGGCAGCGCTGCAGCCCGGCCCCGGCGCCCGGCTCCCCACCGAGGTGGCGCTTGGCTCGGTGCCCGTGTCTGGTTTGAAATCAGCGCCACCGGCCCAGGCTTGCCCAGGGACTTGGCAGTGAGCAGCCGGGATAAACACTGGAAAGTTGGAAGGGCTTCCCGAGCTCACAAGGAGCCTTTAGTTGCAAGCTGGGGGAATGAGGGAGCGATTTGTCCCGAGGTCTGGGTGCGCTGCGGCCGCAGGGAGGTGGCGGGAATGGCTCCTGGGGACCTCCGAGCCCAGGCTGGGGAGGGGAGAGGGCTGGGCTTCCAGGCAGTGTTGCTCCTTTGCCACAGACCTGGGTTTGAGTCCTGGTTCCGTCCTTTCTGTGCTGTGTGACCTTGGGCATGTCGCCTCCCCTTTGCAGACCTCAATTTCCTCGTCTGTAAAATGGGGCAACAGTGGGGTCTACACAAGCATGAGACTGACGGGAGAAGGAGCTGCAGTTTTGGGGGAAACTCGGTGCAGACTGCCTGGGTTCTTGTCCTGGTTGGATGCTTCCTGGCTGTGTGACCTTGGGCAAGTAACTTACTGTCTCTGAGCCTCAGTTTTCCCATCTGGCAAATGGATGTTGCATCTTTCCCCACCTCATAGGCTGTATGGCTTAAGGGAGTGAATGAAACCTGCCTTCTGGTTCATAATAGGCTCACAGTCGATAATTCACTGGCGCTGAAGTTGTTTTCTCGATGCTAACAATACACGCACCTGGTCTGGGGGCGGGGGCGGCCCTGGGATTTCGGCATCTCAGGGCGATGGTGTTTATGAAGTTGTAGTGGCCGGATTGAGGTTCCAGTGCCAGCTCGACCCCTCAAGGATGGTGTGACCTTGGGCAAGTCCTGGAATCCCACCGAGCCTCAGTTTCCTTGTCCCTTACCACAGTGGTAGCACTGCAGCCTGCCGGTATGTCTTGGGAGAGCCCGAGAGAAGCCTGAAGGGGTCCGCGCAGTGCTGGCCTGGGTGGGCCTCCGTAATTGTAACCACAAGGTTGGATTTATGTTCGAGTTCCGTCCAGTTTTCTTTTGTTCTCTGCAGAGAGCTCTCCTGTTTTATAGAAACCCGGGCCCAGATAATGGGAGGTAGGCCGGGTGGGTGCTTCCCAGGCTCTGCCTTTGTTTGGGGTCCCCAGGTCTCCCCCCATGCCTGCCTGTTCTGCCCCATCTCCCACTCAGCCTGAGCCCCTCCGTGCCAGCCCTGGGCCAGGCAACCCCCACGGTGGTATGGCCTGGGGCTGGGGCGGGAGGGCTAGTTCTCCTGCGGAAGGTGGCAGCCGTCCTGTGTTTGTAAGTGACACCGGATGCTGGGCCAGTGACTGGCTCAGGGCCTCCGCTCTTGGGCCAGCAGGAGCCAGCGGGAGTTCCCCGGGTGTCCAGGCCCCCCGTGCCAGCTGCCAGTTGTCTCATTGTCGTGGAGCCTCTCCTGGGACCTCAAGAGTGGCCTCTGAAGGGAGGGGTGGTCATACGTGTCCCCTTGTCACCCCCAAGGCCTTGGTGTCCACTTGGGTTGGCCACAGAGCTGTGTTGTGGCTGCCTCTGACCTTTGCCAGAGTCCTCAGGGACTCAATTTTCCTACCCAGTGGAAAAGAGTCCTGGGTAAGGAAGGTTCAGAACAGAAGTCAGCACAGGGCCTTTGTGACGAGGCAGCTCGGCATGGACCAGTTGTGATCACTGGAGTCTGCATGTGTGATAAGAACACATAGAACTAAATACATGCACACTCACACTCACATGCACACACACATGCACATACCCACACGTATACTCACACGCACACTCGCGAACATGCACACCATACACACAGAGTCACACGAACATGCGCACGCATACACACACGCTGGCGAACATGCACACGCATACTCACATGCACACTCACAGTCATACGCACACTCACACTCGCACACACACACCCATACTCTCATGCAGACACCCACACAGATACACGCGCACATGCACACGCACACACACACAAGTGAGTGCATTGGACACTGCTGCGGATCTGCATATGGCTGGCTGTATCCATGCTGCCTTCCCGGTTATGATACGGATGATGAATTGTCATTGTCTCAGGATGTTATTCTTGGGGGAGGCTGGGTGAAGGGTACACAGGATCCTGGGATCTTGAGATTCTTTTTTTTTTCTCCTTTTTTGAAACTGAGTCTCACTCCATCACCCAGTCTGGAGTGCAGTGCAGTGGCGCGATCTCAGCTCACTGCAACCTCTGCCTCCTGGGTTCAAGCGATTCTCCTGTCACAGCCTCCCAAGTTGCTGGGACTATAGGCACATGCCACCAAGCCCAGCTAATGTTTGTATTTTTGGTAGAGGACTCCCCCATGAAGCTGGCCTGTAACTGTGCTTGGTCCCTTGGACATCCCAGGGGGTCCAGGCGGGGTTTGCTTTGTGCCTGAGGATCACAGAGGGCTCCAGAGCATCCCAGGCTGGGGGACAGGTGGTGCCTGCAGAGCCTGTGGGGGCCCCATGACTGAACTGCTGTAAGGGTGTTCCTGTCATCACAGTGGCGTGGTAGAGGCTTGTGTTCCGTGGGCATCAGTCATAGCTTAGGATCTGGAGGGACGGGTGGAATAGGGTGTGGGGGCATCTAGCCTCATGAGCCTCTTTACTGTTCTTTGGGGCCCCTGATCATGAGCCTGCCTCAGGACCTTTGCACTGACTATAACCTCTTTTTTTTGAGACAAAGTCTTACTCTTTCCCCCAGGCTGGACTGCAGAGCTGTGGCCACCTTTCTTTCAGGTTCAAGTGATTCTCCTGCCTCAGCCTCCCGAGTAGCTGGGACTACAGGCATGCACCACCATGCCTAATTTTTGTATTTTGAGTAGAGACAGGGTTTTGCCATGTTGGCCAGGCTGGTCTTGGACTCCTGACCTCAAGTGATCCACCCACCTCGGCCTCCCAAAGTGCTGGGATTACAGGCCTGCGCCACCACACCCAGCCTGGCTGTAACCTCTTCTGGGAACACCCTTTCCTGAGACCTTCAGCCTCCCTGATTTAGGCCTCTGCTAATGGTGCCTCCTGAGAGAGGCCTGATGTCAGGTTGTGACTCCCTGTGACACCTTCACTGCTCCGTGTAACACCGTCGCCACCGGGTTCTGCTGTCTGCCCGTCACCCCGTCCCCACCTTATTTTAGTCTATTTGGACCGGGTGGCTCACAAGCAAGAGAACTTTACTGCTCACAGTTTTGGAGGCTGGACGCCCGAGACCCAGAGGCTGGGGGATTTGGTGTCACATGGGAGGAGGGCCCGTTCCCTGGTTCATAGGTGGTGGCTTCTCCCAGGCAGAGGGCACGGTGGCTTTCTGGGGGCACCAATCCCACTCGTGACAGCTCGTCACCTCCCAGAGGCCCCGTGCTCTGACACTGTCCCATGATGATTAGGTCTCAACATACAGATTTTGGGGGGACATAGACATTCACACTCCAGCACCCCTCCATCCAGGATTTTGTTCACCTTGGTCACTGCTGTGTCCCCAGCACTGGGTATGTAGCAGGCACTTAGGAGACAGTTGTGCCTGACTCAGTGTCCCCCACGGGGCCTCAGCCTGTCCCCTCCCCATAAATGGGGCCTCTCTGGGGAAGGAGGCCCTGCATTTTGGGGATGATTTGGAAAACCGGGAAAAGTTCTCACGCTTTTTCTCTGACTGCCCCTGGGGTACCCACCAAGCATCCCAAGAGAGCCTACCCCTCCTAGATACGGCCATGAGAAGGAACCCAGGGGTGCCGTAGGCACGGGGAGTGGGGGAGGGGTGCCGACAGCCTCAGCCTTGTGTGCTGAGGACCAAGGTGAGGTGAGCATTCCACATACCTTAGTTCACTGTGTCCTTCCCATAGCCTTGTAAAGTGGGCAGAGTCACCCTCTCCTGATAAGGCACAGAGAGGGTAGGCAGCTTGCTCAAAGACACACAGCTGCAGACCTGCAGTATTACCAAGTGAATGGCATTTCCAAGGCAGTTGCTTCTTTGCTCAGGGTCATGCCTAGCATGCTAAGGGGATCCCCCTCTCTCATCCCCAGAAGTCCCTCATACTATTCCTGTCTTCCGAGGCGGTCCTGTTTTCTGGGCATCTGGCTCAGAACTGGGAGGGTCCCATTTCCCAGGCTGAGAGAATGCCTCATTTAGCCCAGAGCAGAG